ATTCAATCCACAATTTTTTAAACTTAAAATTATACTTGCAAGTTGCAACTGACCCCGGTTGCTCGACATGATAAAGTATACAATATAATTTCATAATCCTGAGGTTATGTAAATAATAAAAATAAAAATTTTTAAATGGGGTATAGAAATAGTAGATGACAAATTTTCTTGGAAAAATTACACTCAGGTCCCACAGAACACAATTAATATCAAAAAAGTCCCTCGAAATCGCGAAATGATTTTGAAGTCCCCAGGGACCTGTGTGTAATTAATTTTAATTGTGAAATTACTTACTTACCCTTGTTAATTTGAACATATTTACAACCTCAACAGTGGCTGTTAACAACCCAAGAAGAGGTGATTAACAACCTCAACAACGCCCCTGGTATTCCACAGAGTGAGTTGTCATGAACACTGCCGAGGTTGTCAATCACGTCTTCTCGGGTTGTTAACAACACTGTTAAGATTGTAAATAAAATTAGAACCTATTTACAACATCAACAGTGGCTGTTAACAACTCGAGAAAAGGTGGTTAACAACCTCAACAACGCCCCTGACATTCCACAAAGTGAGTTGTCATGAGCACTGTCGAGGTTGTCAATCACGTCTTCTCGGGTTGTTAACAGCCACTGTTGAGATTGTAAACGAATTGTTACAATAAAATTAACAAGGGTAAGTAGGTAATTTCACAATTAGAATTAATTACACACAGGTCCCTGGGGACTTCAGAATCATTTCGCGATTTTGTGGGACCTTTTTGATATTAATTGTACTCTGTGGGACCTGAGTGTAATTTTCCCAATTTTCTTTTCCCTCTCGAGTTCTTACTGGGTCTCCAGCTGTCTTTTGGGCCCAGATAACGATGAACAAACAAGGACCATTCCATCATTGACTTTTGGGAAAAAAATTTAATAATAATAATTATAAAAAATTAATTTAAATGTAATTTATTATCAAATATTACAACTTCTTAAAGCTCAAAGACAATGGAATCAGTTGAAAATAAATTGACTGGGTACACGGAAGGATTTTTCGTATATTTATAACCATGTAGTTTTTAGTATCGTTTTTGGGAGAAACCAAATGGATAGGGCTCTCTCAAAATGATGTTAGATCTGTTCTTATAAAATTAAAGGGGAAAAAATTAAATTGACCAAATTGGTCCGAAATTTTCTTACTTTTTGTTCACATGGTGTTCATTAAATAATTGTGTTTGGTAGCAATAAAAAATAAAAATAAATCAATAAAGAAAAAAACAAGAAGAAGAAAACATTATTTTTCCAAATAAATATATAAATCAATAAAGATGACTATTCTATTGGAGATTTGGAGGTGGAATTCATTATATTTTTATTATTATTTCTTAAGTATAGTTGTCTTTGCCCTTTTCCCTTATATTCTATTTTCATATTTATTTCCAATCAAATATATAAATAAAATATCATTCTCATTTGTTTATATCATATCATATTAAAATTGAAGATTTTTTTTTTTTGGTTTCATTTTCATTCCTTTTATATTGTTTCAAAGCGTTTGGAAATAACATCTACATTCAACGAAAATTAAAGAATAAAAAGTTTTGTATCACACTTATAACAATATCTCCATGTGACGTCGTCAGAAGCTACAAGATTTAAAGGACTCAGTGCTAAATAAAACTTTTACATAACCACGCCTTACAAATTGAGAAATAATACATTTTTCATATTGTATAAAACTAGATCCCATTTTTTGTGACTTTTTCATATCTTATAAATAATACAGTTTATAATAATTGTATATTTGATAATGATTCACAACTTTACCTATTGTTTTTCCAGCTGGTGTGGGCTGTGGGGGTGCTAATTAATTTCAACTTTACCTATTGTAAAGATCAAGTCATGAATTTCAATTTTGAAGTCAATTAATTGACTCTTTATTAATTACTCCCCTGTCCTTTTTTATAAGTAATCTTAAACTATATCACATGGATTAAAAAGTTAATTAAAATTGGTTAAAGATAATAAATATATAAAAATTAAAAGTTCTTTCTTCAAAATATCTTTATTTATGGGGGAGAGAATATAAGAAAGAGAATAATAAAATTATTATAATAAAAATAATTATGAAAGAGAGAATGTGTGATGGATAGAAATAATAATTTAAACAATAAAATAATAAATATATTGAGTATTAAAATAAGTAATTAACGGGATAACAATAGAAAAGTTTACTAAAAAAATTTTAAGACAACTTACAAATGTTATTTTTATTTAGGGACAAGAGGGGTATGATAGTTGTTGCTTATAAAAAGGGACGGAAAGAGTCCACATTTAATCAATCTTAAATACTCTTTTACTCTTTAATATAGGACCTAATTAGGAAATTAATGCTAGTTCTATATGTAAGACATATTTCATATGTTTATCAATTTTTTTCAAAATTAACCTTATTGATATTTTTCTAATAATAATCAAGTAGTAAAGGGAGGGACATATTAAGGAAGATACTTATAGTGACTTAAAAAAAAATCATATTAACTAATTTAACTAACAATCTTCATATGCTCAAATTAGTTCATTAGGTTTTAGAAGAATAATTAATTAGCTGGGTGATCTATACGTGTTTTTGATGATTATTGCTTGTATATTCTTACGCTTAGGAATATGTGTCTTTATCATGCCTTTAAACTAAACCCTTTAAATTTACAACAAATTTATCTTATTAGGTGAGGTGAACTACATGGATTATATTATGGTGCCCAATAACTTTATTGAGTATTTTGCGGCCTAGAGCTGTAGAAGTACGTGGAATTGTATGGTAATTATGTGAACGCTATCAGTTTAATCACCATCTCATCTAAGAGGTATTAAGTTTTGATCACCTTTCAATAAATTATTGCTTGAGAAGCTACTACTGTTTTGAATGGAGATCGGAATAGTTCAGCCGACGTTGATGCTAGCAACCTACTGACACTTGCCTATTTCCCCAGTGATATACTATCTTTAGTTTTTAATATAAAACCCTATTTGATTTTTATTTTGATCCTAAATATAAGATTCCAATCCACTTTATTTTTCATATTTATATATTTTTTCCAAAGTAAACTTTCTAATAATGATAGTTATAGTCAATATACTTGATTAGTAGGGATATTTTAGGAAAGACAATACCTATTTAGGACAAATAACTAACTCAACTTACTTCCTGATCTCATCAAATTAGTCAGTTGGCTCTTATAATTAGGACCGGAGGTAGTATAATTTTTTTTTTATGTGTCTTTGATTATTTTCCCTTTTGTTATATGAGGCCATGAAGGATCTTGAAAGATAACTCACCTCCCTCTTCTTTTGTATCGCTTCTCATCAATATATATTCAATAATTATTTGCCACTAGCCATATGATAAGACGACTCATACGCAACAACAAACGGTTTACTTTTCATAACTCATAAGGTTCTAGTGGCCTGAAATTTTTTGGAGGGGGGGAGGCTCTATTCTAGTCATTAAACTGTTTGCAGCCAATCTGTTTCTCCCTCATTGAAATCTCGGCTGTACATGTTATGTTTCTTGACTCTAGGATACGGCTTTGTTATATAGATAAGAAGTATTTGAATGGAATCTAAACTATCTCGAAACACTTTTTTTAAGTGTTTTTATGGGTCATCAGACACTTCCTAAGACATCTTCTTAGTCAATGTTGGTCATTTGATGATAACACAACGAGAATTGTGAAAATTGAATCTTTTTCTCATGTTAACATTGACATACCAAGCATCGAGCAAAATATGTTTAATATGCAAGGGGCAACTCACGGTGGCAGATATGAAATGCTCCAGTCATTTGGGCACTCAAATTCAAAAACCAATCATATTCAAAATCTAGGATGATTGTAGTTTTCCCTCAGCTCTAGCATCTAACCTAGATGGCCTATAAGCAGTCAATCATTATTGAACTTATACATTATGTTTTATGGTGAATTTTGCATTGCTAGTTTGAAACCAGCTATTGTACATATGATTGTGGGTTTAATTGGTTCCCCTTGTTTTGGATTTGGGGTGTTGCTGCTGCTACTCTTACCTCTTTGTTGCTTCTTAAATTTTTCCTATTTGCCTTGTTTTTTTTTTTCCTCATGAGTCAAAGACGGTATTTTTCAATTTTTTTTTTATAATTTTTGAAAAAAAAAACGTTGTGCATGGATGAGAGGGTTCCTGGGCATAGACCATAGTGTATAATAATTATTGTTACTTTTATGATTTATGGAAATGTGTTATTTGAGAAACTTACATTGGGATGATGTTCTAATGATTTGAATTATTATCTCCAAATATAAGAACTAATTTAATTTTTAATTTGACACTAAATACAAGACCCAAATCTATTTTGTCTTTTATATTTATTAATTTTTTGTAAGATAATCCCTGTAATAGTTATACATATTAAATGATTAACAAGAGTATTATAGAAAAAACAATATATATTTATTACAAATAACTATCTTAATTAATTTTTTTAATATTTTCAAATTAATCAATTAAGTCTTATATTAAGAAAAGGTAGCATATAATAAAAAAATTCAGCTAAATCCCTCCAAGCATATGAGATAACTTAGACTTGAGTAAATTTAACATTCTTTTTGTGTGATCGGATGTATCATTGTCCACAGTGACAGCTTCCCCTTTACCCCCTGTTTACTGCTTAGTTTGGAAAAAAAAAAAACTAGGAAAAAAACGTTAAGGGAAAAATGCTAAAAAAAATTCTTGTTTAAAAAATCTGTGAGAGTAGAACATACCCTTCATCGTGTATAAATGGTTTTCATGTTAATGATTGTTGTTGCATATTATTTATAATATGTTACATGCAGTAAAAAATATGTTATACTCATAAATTATAATTGTATTCGCTTAAATTCAAATCTTTTTATCTAATTAAATTTTTAAACAATCATGTTTTACCAATTTTTCCAAACGTTAGTGGATTGATTTTACAAAAATAAGTATACAGAATTATCACAACGAAAATCTGCCGGGCGAGTAAGCAGCAAAGGATAGAAGCTACCAGCCACAGCAGGAGCAAGAAACAATCGACGGAGCAACAACGCGATGACTGCTCAGCTATCTGCCCCGTGGCTGTCCAGGGCTCCGACAGTGCCTGAGAGATTTGTACCCAGTGGAGCCAGAATATGCCCAACAACTCTTACAACCTCAGCAACCCTCTCGTCTCAATCTTCGACCATCCAGGCACGCTTCAGTCTCCTCGCCATTCCTAAATATCTTGTTATTCTTTGCTTCTGGGCATTACTTCAAGTTATTTTACCTTTACTTGTTCACCCATGCTTCGGTTGCCTAGAAAACTAAACATGGTGCCTCAAGAAGTATCATGCTTTTAATTTTTTTCAAATCAGTGTAAAGCCGGTGTGAAAGTTGCCGAAGAGTGTTGTTGATCCCTGATGATGAGTTAAGCTTGGATATTTCTTGCAAAGCTCTTGTTTTGAAATTGCTAACTATGGAAATTATTTCATTTTTATTATGGTTGTGTATTGGATAAAAACTTTCGGTACTCTTATAGTGCAGGGCAATAGGTCCAACAGCCATTTATATATTTTCCATGTAATCTGCTTCTTTTCGGAGCAAAGCCACACATTTGGGATTTGTTTTGAAGTAATGATTGAGTTGAGTCCTAACTTTAGACAACCATTGCTGTTATGTCGATATATAAATGACATTATTAATCATTTTTCATTACTAGGAAAGCATGACAAATATTTCGTAATATTTCCATGGAAAGGTGGAAATCGACTTGATATAGCTTCTGAAAATTATACATACTTGTTAAGAAGTGTTAGGCTCACACTCAAAATTTATTCGCTATACAGAAATATGATTTGAACCATTGACTATCTCTAACTTTCCAAATTCAAGGTTGTTATTGAATGCTTATGGTGACTTGGAATATTGTAGATAGTTGAAGTGAAAAATCCTAGTTGGCAAGAAAGTGGATATGCCAATTCAAACGCATTCCATGGCGACCAAGGGGAGAGCATTTGGACTGATCTTGACACTGATCTTTATTACTGGACAAAGGCAATACGGCCAGTGCAGGTATGTTTAGTTATGTGCCAACATGGCGAGATCCTCTTTAACTTTAAGTATGCTGATTCTTCTTGGTTATTGGCAGTGGTTCCCTGGTCATATTGCAAAAGCTGAAAAAGAACTTAAAGACCAACTCAAGTTGATGGATGTTGTGATAGAAGTGCGGGATGCACGAATTCCTATGTCCACAAGTCATCCACAGGCAAGTATTATTTAACTTTTTTATTTTATGTTCAACTTGTTGTCTTAGTTCAGTTTGCAATTGGTTAAGCCTTCTTTTCTTTTCTTTTCTTTTCCCGTTGTCCTTGCTTATTTGAAGCCTTAAAAGCTAAATTTTTCATGATGTGGTTTGGTAAAGATATTCATGCTGCCATTTCAATTCTCCATTCTGTTGTTAATTAATATTGAAACTTCATTTTACTAACTTTTGGTCTGATTGCTACTTTTATCTTGGCAGATGGATTCATGGCTTTGTAATAAAAAGAGAATTCTGGTTTTAAATAGAGAAGACATGATATCAACTGCAGACCGCAATGCTTGGGCAGCATATTTTGCTAGGCAAGGCATAAAGGTTGTTTTCTCCAATGGAAAACTTGGAATGGTATGTAAAATATTTCACCCCAGCTTTCCATGGTTCAAAAGTTTCTGGTATGGCTTGTTTAGTACAATGTGGCAATTACAGGGCACAATTAAGCTAGGCAGGTTAGCAAAGACAATGGCAGCTGATGTAAATGTCAAACGTAGAACCAAAGGACTGCTCTCTCGACCGGTGTGTTGTTCCTACCAATTGAAAACCAATCTCAATTCTGTTTATGTTATTTAATTTTCTTGAGAACTGATCCGGTCAGTTTGTTTATTATATAATCTGATACAAGGAGTGTGTGTTTGGCCAAATAAGATGTTTCAGTAAATGATTTCATGAAGTTCATATTTTCTGATTGATTTGAGTTGCTTGATCTGGAAGTATTCTGTTTCGTGTCTTACACATGCTGCTGATTTATAAGTTGTTCATTCTTTTCTTCTTTGTTGTCAATGGGCGCCACTGAGCTTCCCTGGTCTTTATAAGTTACATTGCACTTCATGTCACTTTGTCATTCTGTTCATTTTTCTAGCCCAAATTTTATTTTACTAACTTTCAGTGCAAATTATATTTTACCATATACGTGTATTTTGCATTCATGGATTTGTTTTTGTTAATGGCAGATTCATTGCGGTTGACATTCTTGCTTTTTAAAATTAACAGGTGCGAGCTGGAATAGTTGGATATCCTAATGTTGGAAAGTCATCTCTAATTAACCGTTTGTTAAAGCGAAAAATGTGCGCAGCAGCTCCTAGACCAGGTGTCACTAGAGAATTGAGGTAACATTCTTCCCCCTTCTCCCTCTCCCCAACTAAAAGGGGGGGAAAAAGGATATGATTCCATCGATTATTTTTTATCCACAACTTGCTAGATGTGTCATAAACCAAGTACTTTTCAGGAATCTTATGTCACAAATTTTTAGTGCTAACTATGGGTCTGAAACAAGAAAAATATTGTGGATGTTTTGTCCCACATAGTACTACATGGTTTAATCGTACGTTCTTCTTAATGTAAAAGGTGGGTACGTTTTGGGAAAGATCTGGAGTTATTGGACTCTCCTGGGATACTTCCAATGCGAATCAGTGACCAGTCAGCAGCAATAAAACTCGCCATATGTGATGACATTGGGGAGAGATCCTATGATGTTGCTGATGTTGCTGCAATTCTTGTACAGATGCTCACAAGGCTCCCTCCGGTTGGTATGTATCATTTAATTTGGCCAAACAGTAATTGTCCCTGTCATTTTGCATGTCCATAGTATCTTTACAACATTCATAAGGAGTATAAACTAATCAAGATTTGGGATCTTTAAACCTAAGCATTTCACCTTCTTCCATAAGCTCTAATTCTCAGTTCTTTGGACAATGCAGGTACAGATGCTCTTCATAAACGGTACAGGATTGACGTAGATGCTCTCCCTGGTAAAATGTATGTTGGAATAGTTTTTGCTGCGTCAGACATGACATTAGGATTTGAATTACTGAATGCATCTCTTCCTTTAAATAATTTTATACTAATTCAGTATAATGTCTTCAATGAATTACAGGTTTGTAGAAAAGCTTGCACTTAATTTATTTAATGGTGATGTTCATCAGGCAGCATTCCGCATTCTGGCAGATTTTCGTAAAGGCAAGTTTGGTTGGACTGCACTGGAGAGACCACCAAGGTGATTGGTGGGCGTTGTTTTCCTTCAATTGAAAAACAAGAATTTGTGATGCCTGAGGCCTCTCGCGCCAGAACTCATTCACTCACTGAGGTATCAGCGAGTATCGAATGACATGGTTGAACATAAAGCTTGCGACTTTTTGTTGTAAAAATGCAATGGCCATTGAAGTTGGAGATTGGGGCTCAGAAAACAGAGGATTTGGCAGCTACGGCTTCCTGCTATACGATGCATTTGGTCTGGATTTTACCAAGTCTCGGTTTTGTAATTATGTTTATATAGCCTCGTAATCATAGAAGGCAGGGAAGACCAAAACCACAACGGTACCAAAAATAAATTGTATGAAATCACTAATGGTTTGTATATAACAAGTAATCGATTTCTGAATGCTACAATACAACTTTGATTCTGTCTTGGACAATGGAGTATCTATCAGACTAAAATAGTCCTTGTGATTTAGTTATCACTAAACAGGGATGTCATGTATAACTTAAGACATGTTTGTGTCTCTTTTGAATTAGTTTAATATAGGCATCATCCATAAATTTTGCTGCTAGCGTAAAACCTGTTATTAGAAGCCAACATCCATTAAGGGTGTGTTTAGATTGATGCTGATAAAACTGATTTTTATTTCATTTTATTTTTGCAAAAGTGAGTTAGGAATAGTATAATATGATTTATGTTTGGATTGATTTTTATAAAAGTTAGTTTGATAGATTGAAATTTGTTTGGATAAGTAATGAAAAAGTAAGTTGAGATATAAAATGACTAAAAAAGATATCAATTTTTTTTCAAATTAATTTGTTTAATTTATAAATTGATTTGTAATATAGTGATGTATATAAATATTTTAGAAAGATTATATAACATATGATATAATTAAATAATTTGTTATGGCTTTCATAATCTCTTCAAATTAGTCTATTGGGTTTTATATTAAGAACTAAGATAGTATATTATATGCATATAATTTGATAAATTTAAGAAAAATAAAAAATAAAAAATAAGTAAATTACCATTAAAAAAAATCAAATTATTAGATTAAGATAAGAGTAAGACTCATTTAAATATATTTATTTTTCTTTTCATCTTTTACCTAATGTCTCTGTGGCAACTGCAATTTGAGCTTTTCACTGCAACCAACTTTTGAGGCAAAAGTTGGTTCTACAAAAAATATAGTCAAACATTCCAAAAGTTTCAACTCATTTGCAAACTTTTGTTTCATCAATTCCAATATACTTTTTCTCCTTTCAACAGCAATCCAAACATGTGTTAAGGATGAGAACCAAACCATAATTTTAAAATCAATTTCATAGTATGTGAAGCAAATATATGAAAAGTTTGTCGTGATCTGTAAAAAAATATTTTTTAAAAATACTTTCTTAGTTAGCCAAATGCCCGAAGTCAATGACAATTCTTTGACCCCCCGAAAAGGGTATGCGTCTGAACTTGCATCGTAGGATTCGAGCGCCAGAGTCTCCCTGTCCAAGCTACACAGCAATGAAGAATCAACAAATTGAAGTGCAATTTATCAAAACATCTGGAAGGATCAAGACAAAAGTAAATTCATAATTCTTAGGATATTCAATAACTAGTCGGTAGAACTAGTAGCTATTTTTATGATGTTTTGACTCATGAATTAAAAAGAGTCGTTACTGAATTTTAGTATATTCATGACTATTTATCAATTTGGCCATAGAGAGAACGATTTACCGTTTAGAACTATTGCACTTTCATTTACATCCCAAAACAAAATATCATTATATCTTTTGTATGAATGCTTTATGTGATTTGTAGGGGTACTTATATCTAGATTCCCAAGGTGGCTAGAAGTTTTATTAGATGCAATTAATAGGTTCATAACTCCTCATTAATGAAGTGCCTAGCATGACTTTAGTACTAAAATGGGCATTTCCCAAAATCTAATACTCTTCTAATTTTTAATATAAGACCTAATTAACTAATTTGAGTAGATTAAGGATGTTAGTTAAATTAGTTAATATGATATTTTTATTAAAAAAAACCCCAAACATTTTCTTTAATTCCTTCCTTCCTTCCCTTCTACTTGATTATTATTGGAAGAATGTTAATAGGATTAATTTGAAAAAAAAATTAATAAACATATGAAATAGGTCTTCTATATAGGATTAATATTAACTTCCTAATTAGCTCTTATACTAAAGATCGGAGGAGTATTTTGCCAAAATTGGGGAAAGTTAATTTTTGAGTTTTGACAATGGATATTTGAATACACATTTAAGGCGTGTCTGATTATATACTTGAAAAATCTAAATGTGTCTTGATGCCAAACTTACTTTTACCCAAATAACTCATTAAGTGCGCATTGATATTAGGCTATGTTTGGAATGATGGTGGAATAATGAAAGGTAATGTTTCAAGGTGGAAGACAGCAGGAACACAGTGGGGGGACGGCAAAAGATGCTGGGGAGATGTGGTAGCACGCCTCTTCTATTTTTTATCTCAAGACCAGTGTATCTCGTTTTTTTTACCTCGGGTGAGAGAAAATACATGCAAGAGGGTCAGGTAGATAACGAATTTTAAAATCCAATTAATGTTCTAATAGTATTCTGTAACGCTCTGTCCACCGAAAAAAAGCAACTGAAAGTAACTTATTGTATAAGTCCATTTGAGGGCCAAAAGTCAGATATCCAAAACGTGGGCCCAAACATGATTTTTCCTCCCACCTACAGCTTCTCCGGTTGGGATGCACATTTGGGGGCCTAAACGGCATCCCAAACAGACCCTTAACATGTTTAGTTGGCTTTTTTAACAATGCACTTTTGAACCCATATGATTTCTATTGTAAATGTAACACAAAATGTGAATAGAAAAGCTAGCTAGGTAGATGTTACTTCAATGTTTAGCCTAACATTTGCAAGGCTAAATGAACAGAAAGGCACACAAGTTATGCCATGATATGAAACAACTTCAGGAGACGTCCTTCCCAATTCAATATAGATGTCCGAGGCATAACAGGTTCTCTAGTTTAAACCCAAAAAATCATGCGGTCAAATCCAGAATAAAAAGGATCACAGACTTGATTTACCCTCATAATTTCCATATTGATCTTCTGTCAGTGAATCATTTCCAGATCTTGAAGAACCAACTTCACTTCTCCCATTAATACGTGAACAAAACTGACATTTCTATACACCGTATATACCGCCATGCAATATCTCCAACCTCGCGATAATGGAAGAAGGAGAACACTTGGCTTGAGCTGCAAAATCGAAAAGAACACAAGGATAGTGAATCTTGAATAAATTGTGGCACAAGACAGGGCAGGCCCGTTGGGTTTGGAGGGTAATGAGAGGGTTACAATCTTCCTTTCCCCTTCTTTAGTTGGAAAGATGAAGGAAAGTACCTTATTTCTCGCTGATATGCATATCTTCTCAAGGGATTGCGTGTATCTAAAGGAACAAGTAGATCTTGGGGCAATGGGAAATACAGCTTCACATGCAAGAGACTTTTGACAGTCCCACGTTAGAGAGCTAGATGATGAGTAACGTAGATTTTGGCGATAGGAAACACAAGTGCACATGCAAGAAACTTTTGTCAGTTGCACGTATAGGGCTAGATGATGAGTAACGTAAATGCGGTTTCTTCTACTTCATCTCTAATTAGGCTTGTTTTCTGAGTCTTGAAATTTTTTATAATATAAAGAACAGAAAACGGTCAACATATATGTATATTTGGTCCTTGGTTGATGCAATATTATCACATTCAACCCTTGTGGGTACGTACTGGATTCTTCATGATATACCAGAAGAACGATGAAGACCTCGAATAGTACTCCGGTACGTTTCTCTCTCATATCTCTCTATATGTCATTTATTATCTTTTGCTTTGAATCCTTTAATTGCTGGATCAGTATCAAAATCTTGATGATCCTCCTCTTTCGCAGTAGTGAACATTGGACTTCGATTCTGTAGAAAATTTTAGAAATGATTGGTAGAAACTGGGGAGGGACTGTTGTGCTTCAACTAGACTGTTTCGAGCATTGAAAATACCCCAAGAATCATCGCAGAAGAAAACAAAAACCTCGTAGCTCCAATTGTGTAGAGACTAATTTAATTTGCTGATGTCAGAATAGGGATATATGAAGCAGTTAGTTAGAATCTACAAGGTCTGAAATTCTTTTTATTTTAAGATGCTAGCTGAAGCCTAAAAGCCTTGTTGAGAAGGCGTTATGCTTGACAGGATACTGAAAGTTGGTCTGATTCATTTTGGTACTGCTCCATTGATCAACACTGTTGTCTCTTGTTGTAGTATAACTTCAAAAACCAATATAATAGTTCATCTTGCTGGGTAAAGTACTCGTTTATCTATATAGGCCGTTTTCTTAGAATTCAGAATTTAGCAGTGAGTGGTATGTATGCGATTTAATAGATTTGTGGATCAGGTGATCTTAAGTCAGTGGTGTTAGAAAATCTCACAGCGAAGAGCATCGCTGTCGTTGAAGCAAAATTCTAGGCTGGACTAGCATTCACACGACGGACCTCGATGTAGGGGGGAAAAAACCCAGAGATTCCTCTTTCTCTAGCATCACAAGCTTCCACTCTGAGTTTGTGATTTTCCAAATTCATGTTTCCATTCATAATTACAACACAGCAAGATCATCTTTATCAAAGAGCTCCACATCGTGTAGTTGTAGAAAAAATTACGGTATACAAAGCACTGACGGAATGAAGCAGCTCGCCGAGCTGAGCAGCGCCAGCTTGTAACCCGAGCGGGGGCATTAAGGCAGTGGAACACGGCTTCGGCCTTACTGGGTTGGGCTATGTGGTGCAACTAGCTGGCTTGCCCGCTCCAAGAGGAGAGTTGGGCTGCGGGACCGGAGCGAAGGCTCTGGTGTCGTGGCTCCTAGACAAGTGGACACTGCGTGAGGCTGGTTTCACAGAACAGCGAAAACCTCTGGCTCTCTTCAGTGGAGGGATCACAGGCCGCTGCTCCTTTGGCCCACAATGCCTGGTTGGCCTAGCTGCTTGAACCACTGTTTTTTAACATTAGAAAATCTTCACCAAAAAAAATAAAAAAAATAAAAACAAAGCAGACAGCCAACCAAGCACAAAATGCTAGGAGCCCATCAAATTTTTGCATCATCAACGATATCATTAACTATTTTTTTTTTTTATAAAATAAACACTTTCAGGTTTCGAGTAATTTTTTAATAAATGTAAGATAATTTTTTAAGATATATCTAAGATAGGGGGGAGTATTATTTTAAACTTCAGCCACCATTCTAGCCATGCACTTACAATATTTAAATATGTTAAGAAATTGGGAATTTCACGCACAAACACACATTTTAACATTATTAAGATCTCTCCTCGTTTTGATTCGTAACCAAATGGGCTTCCAAGATGGGAACAAGTAAGCACAAGACGTGTCGTTAAGAGCAGCTGAACGTGTTCATGCAGCCCCTGCATGACAACCACCTCACCACGTGCCCCTCCCGCCCTCTCCGGCCTTCTGCCACCGCACCCCTCTTCTTCTTCTTCATCTTCCTCTTCTTTATTTAAACCCTTCCCACCACTTCCTTCTTTCACACGCCACTTCTGAAATCCATCGTATCATATCACTTTCGATAATGGCCGAAATCCGCCATCATGATTCCCCTTACTACGCTACGCAGAAGTACTACACCACCGACTCTGGGCCCCAACAGGCTGCCAAGGTCGCCACTGCTGTCACTGCCGGTGGCTCCCTTTTGATTCTCTCTGCGTTGATCCTCGCCGGCACCGTCATCGGCTTGACCATTGTCACTCCGTTGTTCGTGCTATTCAGTCCGGTGCTTGTTCCTGCTTTGATTGCGTTGATGCTCCTCGGCTTGGGCTTCACTGCCTCCGGTGGGTTCGGTGTGGCGGCTGTCACTGCGATAACTTGGATCTACAGGTACGTTACCGGCCAGCATCCCGCCGGCAGTGACCAGCTCCAAACTGCGCGTCACAAGCTCACGAATAAAGCCCGTGACATCAAGGACTACGCCCAGCAGAATGTCACTGGAGGACAGGGGTCGTAAACCTGCACACGCATGCACCCGATTTCTGCCACGTGGCTTAGAAGTGGAGAATTGAAAAGTCATTACATGGCGTGTGTCTATATGTTTCGTTTTGTTCCTTCCACTTTTCTCCTGGTTTTCTTTTTTCTTGTTTCTGTTTTCTGTGGGTCATGATCGTCTCCTGTCTTTTGAAGTGAGAATCAAGTGGATCGAGGACTTTCTTTGATTTCCATGCTCTTATTTGATTCAATTTCCTCTTCATAAAGAAAAACCTGAAATGTACAAACCGTAATAGTCTTAGAAAAGCTGCTGATAATCCTAATGATATTATGGGAATGAATGATGAATGTATACGTACAAGAAGTAAAAAAAACTTAAACTTTTACGAAGCTTGAAGTAACTTGATCAGCATCTGAGGTTAACTTCTGCTGCAAACTTTGAGTCTGCTGAGTGATGTGTTTTATAAATATAATAATCCTTATCTGAGATTGCCATTTGATAGAAAATGTAACTGTGGGAGGCTTGGTCTTGCTGTCGCTCCCACTGAGATTCTGAAAAATACTGAAAGGAAATAATGTATGTGGGCACGATCGATTTGATTGTGAAGGATATATTATCCCAATTGCTTTGTTAATAATCACAGTTTCAATAATAAGCACATATATATGGCTTACTTTGACAGTACGTAGATAGCATAGTGAAGCTTCTCACACGATTTCTGATAAGAAATTGAAGGTGATATGGGCTTTCAAAATCTCTAAAGGACTGTCCTATGCATTCTGATAAGAACAATAATTAACAGAGAGACCATAAACAGGAACCCACATAGAGCAACATGACATATATACATGGCAGCAGAACGAGGAACAAGAGAGAGAAGCTCCAGTCCATTCCTTGAATGTGTTTGTGTCGTTAATAACAGTCTCTTCTTCTTCCTCAGGCATACGCTAATCTTCTTCTCTGGTAATCTCTTCCAACAGTACTGTCATTTAGCCATACACAAGTGAACCCCAGAAACAGAAATGAAATGGGATCCACGCATATAAGTGAATACCACCCATGTTTTTATACATTTCGAGCTCTCTAGTGACTAGAGAAACTGCTTATCCTTCTAAATAAATTCACAAGAAGTTTCTTTTTTTTAAACTCTTATCCTTTCTCTCAAACTCCTCTTGGATGTGGAATTAAAGTTGTGCTTGGTTTTACTATTTAAAGCAGCTTCAAAAACGTATACGTTGGCGCCAACATAACACACAGACATCATGCTTTCTCCATTCTTCATTTGATAGGACTTGGAAAAACCTAGTAGACAGTGTCTTAGAATATCTTGTTAAGGGGATTGAATTGATTTTCACATTTCTATACAGCTCACTTTTCAGGCATCTCTTGTGGTGGAACCTCCTAAAAGAAAAAGAACGTTTCGTCGCCATTTACTCTCCACAATTTTCTTGATTTCTGCAGCTTTCTTGACTGGAAGTGCATTTGTAGTGACAGATTATAAAGAGGTACCCAAGTAGTCACTTAAACAATAGTTACCATACGTGCTTTCATATTCTTCTGTGATTCTTCAGATAATTATGCTATGGAGCATGTTACAGATAAGCGAACATAAAGAAATTGCATCTCGTTTTTTTGCAGAGGTTCCCAAAATGGCAATTTGTGGATATTTTGCTTGATACTAGAGCTTCTATGTGCAAGGTAAGATTAATAAACAGTGTTGCTTACTGTGCTTTCGTAACAAAAAGATCAAATTGATGTGTTTTCAGATAAGTTTGGATTGATTTAATTAATGGCAAATAAATTAAATATAATGTTTTTTTTGTGGATTTTCAGGGTAATTGCAGACCCCATGGAGCAGAGTCACTACCAAAAGGAATAGCGGCCATCACTTCTGACTTGGAAATGCGACCATTGTGGGGTCCCCGTAATAGGAAGGTTAGTCATTCCTCAAAATTATTGAGAATTAATAATATTACTCAATACTCTACTCTGTTTCTATAAGGATATGTTTTTGAATTATTTCGAGTAACTTCTGAAACTGTTGGATTCTTTCAGAGTACACAGTCAGTGAGAAATTTACTGGCCATGGCAGTTGGTATAAAGCAGAAAGAAAACGTTAATAATATAGTAAAGAAGGTGAGATAGTTCAGTTTTACTGGCAAACTTTTAATGGTTTTTCTTTTTCTTGTTTGGCACTTAAAAATTTCGTTTTTTTTTTTTTTTTCATTATGATCAGTTTATAGCAAGCAAGGACTTTGCGGTAATGCTTTTCCACTATGATGGGATTGTTGATCAATGGAGGGATCTGGATTGGTGTGATCAAGCCATTCATGTCTCTGCTGTCAATCAAACTAAATGGTGAACTTCCTTCTCTTGTCCTTTTGTAAACTCATCAACTTTTGATAAGAGGTTAATATAATCTTTAGCCTTTTAAGTTTGCTTTCATTTTGGTTTTAAGCTCTCATTTCAGTTTTGATCCCTCAGGGAGTAAAAAGATTTAGGTTTTATTAAATTATAGGGACTAATGTTTTAAATCAGAACAAACTTGAGGGACCAAACAAAATGAAGGCAAACTTGAGGGACTAAGAATTGTATTAACCTTCTATAAAATAGAAAGAATGTGGGACTAACATCGAAAAGTCTGATTGACGGATTTGAATTCTCTTAGTCATATTGTCCATACAGTTGAAGAGAGATAGATATGGTGATGAGTCTCATTAGCTCCCCAGAGGATTCAGACACAATATTTCTATCTCAACTTGGTTTACGATTCTAATGAAAGCTTACAATCAATTTTGTTTATTTCCACTTACTTTCTATTAATAACTTTCATGTAAGATATTACAATCAGTGAAACTAGAAATTGGTAAGCGAATTTTTGATTTTGGAGGCTTCTGAATTATCATGATGTTAATGTCTCTAATTACGAATTTTTACTAAATATGGACAGGGTATTGAGTATGGACCAATTATAGCCTATATTTTGTTAGGTTTAACATTAACTTATGGACCGAGATGGGAAACAAAGACAACATTAAAATTAGTTTAACAAACAAGAAATTAAATTGAAATTGTGCTTACCAATTAATTGTTAACATAGAATTTAAATGTGTTTATACATTTGCCTCAAATGAGTTAGGTGGTTCGCCAAGCGATTCTTACACCCAGATATCCTATTTGACTATTCATACATCTTCTTGTGGGATGAAGACCTCGGAGTTGAACACTTTGATGTCCAAAAGTAGGTGTGTTTGCAGTTGTTTTATATTTTTTCTTTTATATTTGTTTTCCCCATAGGTGATGCAAAATTTGATGCAGATATTTATCCATAGTCAAAGAAGAAGGGCTTGAGATATCACAGCCAGCACTGGATCCTGATGTCTCAGAGGTGCACCATGATCTCACAGCAAGGGACAGCAAGTCAATTGTTCACAGGTCTTAAGAGATTGCTACCACATCTTTATATGGAAAACACAGTAATATATGAATGAGAACTCATTGGACTTAGAATGTAGACAAATGATAAACCCACCATCACATGAAAAATTTAATTTTAGTTTCAAGAATTGGGAGATTACTTGGACATAGAGTTTCAGTTATTCAAGTTGAAGAATAATTCTATTATGATACAACTAGTAACAATAAGCTCTGGTGGCATTTTTTTTAGTCTGATATGTGCATTGCAGAACTACTCAAGGCTTTATTGCATTGAGCTTCCAGTCAAATCTCTGCATAGTACTAATATATTCTTTTAATTGAATTAACATTGAGCTATATTAACAGGAAAATCCACAAGACTCTAAGAGGCGGAAGGAAATGTGATGAAAACAGCACAGGTCCACCATGCACAGGGTAAAAATTCTGCATTCAGATGTTGTGTATTCGTGGTTGCAAAACTATGTTTTTATTAGGAAAGAATAAAAATTCCTCTCTAATCAAGTATTTCAAAGGGCTGCATAAACTGCATGTTGCCACAAAGTTTCATTCTCCTTTATATGACAAAAAGTACAAAACCAATGAGCCGTATCCTCTAAATTGAGTTCCAGTCTCTTCAGTACTTTGTGAAACAGGACTGAAATTATATGAATTCCAGGTTTGTGGAGATGATGGCTCCTGTGTTCTCAAAGGATTCTTGGCGCTGTGTATGGCATATGATTCAGGTTTGTGATCCGAAATTTAATTTAATTAAGCATAACTCAACCAGACATTTAAAACTAACCGTTTCTTAGGAATTTTCCCACCCGTGATTTTAACACTAAGTAAACCAATGGCCAACAAGTTGGCTTATGTTACTACTACAGTATTATCCCAAAATTGAACTTGTTAAATGAATAGGTTCCTTGTGTTAATACTAATTCCAATTTAAACGTAAACATATGATCAATAATAAATTCAGGCTCCGCAGTAACAAGCATTCTTCCCTGCACTTTTTGACAGAATGATCTAGTTCATGCATGGGGCTTGGACTTTCAGCTAGGTTATTGTTCCCAGGTATTTTGTCATCTAGTCAGATGAGTTTCTTTTATCTATTCCTATTTACCTTACTCATATTAGTAAGCATTCCTTTTGGCAGGGTGATAGGACTAAAAATATTGGTATAGTTGATTCTGAATATCTACTTCACTATGGCATACCAACACTTGGGGGCTCCCCAGCAAACAAGGTTAGAAACTTGTCCAAGTACTTGTTCTGGTTATTCCATTTAGGGATCTCAAGGACTGACCATTGCTTTTCTTACGAAATTGATATTATCTTATCTTAATAACCCCCCCCCCCGGGGGGGTGGGTCTCCTATTACGTTTCTACTGTTATCCTTCTCAATATAATTAACAGTTGGTTTAACTAATTGCAGACATCTGCCACAACACATGGTCAAGATGATGAAAATGCAACAGTGTTGAATGAAAAAATGGTAATAAACAAAAGCAGAAGTTCTCTTTATTCAATTCTTTGCTTGTTCAAACTGTAGCTAATTACTTGTGGGTTTGCAGGAGAAAACGCCATCTAATCAAGTTGATGCTAGATCTGAGGTAAGCCTTCAATTCTATTCTTTGACAAATTAATGATAAAATTTGATCCTGCAGGGCTTTTGTTGCCAAATATCTTTATACGATTTGTCATTCCAATAAAATATCTTTTGGAAGGGTAGGCAATTAGTTGGAACCAAATGATTCCAAAACCAAGAGATCACTGATCCATTTAGCGATAAAGGTGCTGTATTATACACTCTGCTTCATTTAGCGATTATTTTGGCAGGTAAGAAAGCAATCCTACGTTGAACTTGAGATGTTCAAGAGCAGATGGAAAAAGGCAGTCGCGGAAGACTCTTGCTGGACTGACCCTTTCCAACAGCCACCGATACACAAGAACTAAGTAACACTGATATTTTCAGACCTTTTTTTTTCTTTTCTTTTTTAAATATTATTTACCATCAGTGTTTACGCTTCAGACAAGGAGAAATATAAGAAACTTCTACAGTTGAGTTGCATTGTACAGGGCAAACATTGCATATCCTAACTTCTATTGTGTGTTGTACAAGTTTGTAAGTTGCACTATTCTTTTTTTCTTATGATCAGTAAATAATTACAAGGTCCCATCATGGCCAAACAAATGAAATTTCCTCCCACTTGCCCATGCTCTAATTTTTTTTCCTCGGAAAATTTCAATTCTTTATTTGGTAGAACCAGAATGCCAGAGAAGACATCAAGACAGGCCAACAAGGAAAGCTAGAATTAAAGGTCGACACTTGATAAAGAAGGCGGGAAGAAGATTTAAATTAACTTCTTAATTCTTAATTCACTCCATGCATGGATTTAGAAGCTTTAAGCTATATAAAACACAGACATTAAATCTATTTGTCTATATAATTCCATGCACGAATCAACAGCTTTCAAAATCCTCAAAAAGCTGCAGCCTTTTCTTCTTTCCCCAGTTTTTCTTCGACAAATGAAGCAAACAATATAAATATAAGCTTTCTTTAATTATTTAAATCTAAATACAGTAAAAGATAAAACATAATTAAAATAAACTAAATCCTTTATTTTCCCATATTACCCGAACCCTAAACCCCATTGTTTTCCATCTGCCTTAAACGCTATGTACAAGACATCCAGAACCAGCAGCAGCAGCACAAGACTTGTTTATCTCGTTAGCATAGCTTTTCAGCCGCTCAATTTCATCAGCAAGGGTAGTTAACGCCCGAAGTTCAGCATCTCCAGAGGAATTTTAAGACCAACCACTTGCCCCACGACGGAGAACCATGACACCAGATAATGTTCAATCGTGGAACCTTTTGTAGTCAAAGACTTGTCACTAGAAAAAAGCAGCTTCATCCACTCACTTGTCCCACATGGGTGTAATTTGTACCATGGCCGGTTCAAATATGGATGCTCCTACAAGATATAACAATAAAACCATTAAGAGTATATTCCAGGGGTTATGGGCAGAGCAAGCAATTATGCGTTTTGTCCGATTATAACATTGTTTCAAGCTAAACTGGAATGTCTTGCCAACTTCCACCTATCTGAAGTGATTCCTTGCATGCTCCATTTATGAGCAGCAGGTTGGATTGTAAAAGTATTAATTTTACGCAATCGATATACATGTTTTGTTTTCTGTAACACATCCGTATAAATGGGAAAGATTGTATTAGGATGCAAGTGTGATAAGCCCATCAAATTGATTATGTAGGGGAAAAAAAATTCGATTAACTCCAACATAGAAGGTGGCATCAGACATTGCACAACTTTTTTTTTTTTTTTTGGCCTGAGACATTGCACAACTTCAAAGAAATAGAGTTTCTAAATTTCAAATTCATAAAGTATATCCATCATATATAGTTACGTGTCACATAGCATAAGTTTGTTATTCACTTATTCGGTGTAAGCAGGCTATATGTAAAATCTGGTAATAGTACCAAAATAAACGCAATCAATGAGAACTGATTTGGCAAGGGATTGAATACAGCAAATGATAAAGAAAGGGCAAGAGTTGTGTGTGTTAAATACTCCATAACAACACTACCAACTTCTACCTAGACACTTCAGATTTTATTGGATCACACCATGTCCCTGCTTCATAGGAATTACCAAACACTGAAAATCAAACCGAACTGATTTCCGTTCGTAAAGAAGAGGCTGACATAGTTTATGATGACAGAGATGACCTAGCCTGTCATGTTGGCAATAACTGAATTGAAATCTATGAGGGGAGATTGATCTTGATAAAAATTAGAACCATATGGCAGACTTATAATGCTATACAAATCATCCCTTTCAAGGCATATCTTACCTCTTGAGTTATGAATGTCCACTTTGATTCAGATAGCAGCTTCACAGAGAGGCCAGGAAGGTCCTTTTCAATTTCACTGAACAGCAAAGGTTGTCCATCTATGTATTCCATATGTCAAACGGTATCACAAATTGTGAACATCATTTTCCCAATTAGAAGATAAATTTATAAAAGTATCCCCTTGAGCAAAGTTGATGGTTCGAATTTTGTGGATAGAAAAAACTTATAAAATTCTACCTGAAGCTAGTTCCGAAGGTTACAGGGGTTAAGATTTTGATAAAAGGTTCTAAGTTCAGCCCTCTTCTAGTACAAAATATGACTAATTCTATATATATCTAATGAGATACTTGACTTCATAAGTTTCTAAATGTTATTAAATTACAACTTCACAGAGGGACCAGGAATACCCCTTTCAATTTCACTGGACAGCAAAGGTTGTTCATCTACATAATAAAATAGCATCACACTTCCCTCGCTGTCAGCACTATTCTCTTGATTAAGGGAAAAAAAAAAAACCAACATATAGCAACAAAAAACGCTGATATAAATTTAGGGGATAATGCAACTCGGAACTCAGAAATACAATTCTGTCTTTATACTATTAGACAAAAAAAAAAAAAAATTGGGAAACCAAGCTGAATTTAGACATGTTCCTTAAAATTAAAAGCTTTAACTCAAGTGATAAGATTCAAAGGCTCAGGTACCAAAATACAACTTTGGCTTTAATTAGAATGAAAATAATGCTGCCGTCTAAAGGCCCTAAACATTCACCCCCGCTCGACCACACCCAAAGACACATAGCTACACGATTCTTTTTTGTTTCAGCAGCCTCTTCTAGCATCCAAATCTAATGACAAACGAACTGCAAAAGAATTTCATGCACCCAGATTTACAGCTAAATAACCATAAGGTGGTATTTTGTTTCAGTAAGTTCCAACTTTGAAGTTTCAGTAAAAACACGATTATGTATCTAATACGATATTTATCACAAACAACACGCTTTAGAAGAGGATAGCATGGTGAACATACCACTACGGTAAGCACGGAAATACAGCACTGGAACCTTGTACGAAGCACTGTAGACCACATGAAAATCATAGAGGTTTATTTCATGATAATCACTCTCTGGACCCTGCAAAAACAAATAGAACAATTACAATGAAGATTATAAAGACTGCCAACAACAATAATAGTAACCAAATTGATGTCGCATGCAAATTTGTAAGCTACATAAAGAATACCAATTAGGCCATACATACTAATGTGGCGCAATCAAATGGTTCTTCATTCTCCAACATATTCCGTTCTTCTTTACATGTCAGACTTCCTCCGTCCTCTTTTTCCTGCACGACACTTACAATCCATTGATTAACATCAACTCTCCTTTTAAGGGAAGTGTAAACTAAAATTCTGTCAGACCGTCCGGCAAAAGTTTTGTAGAGGAGTATCTCTTCTGAATTTACAAAGGAATTGGAAAGCTCTTTCAGGCTGATGTTTGCTTCTAGTTTTATTATTTTTATTACAGCATCATGAGGATTATACCCGCTGGTTATTGCCTCCTTTTCTCAGCAAAAATAAAATTTATCTATAAAATAAATCTAAAAGAAAAAACAACAGACCTCACTTGATTTTAAAAGGCGCACGTTTTCCAGTGACATATATCCTTCCACCTGAGATTGAGAGACAAATATAAGGAGATAAAACCCTGAGTAGCAAAGCATAGAGTCACGAGGTTGCAAAAACTATTGAAGAGGCCAACCTCATGAGAAGAAACCAAACGATGTTTTGGACATGGAATCCACAACCATGGAGGGGCTGAAGTATTGAACCTTCTCCACTCATTAGAAAACCTGTGAGCAGCCCGAAAGAAATCACTTAAAGTGAGAGTCCCATCCCAAGGGAATATGTTTGCTGCAGTTTCCTTCATATCCATTACAACCTACATTAACGATGAGATGCATTTCAAATATTGAATGAAATGATGGAGAATCCACAACTAATAATAATTCAAATAAACAAAAAGGAAAAACGAAACAGAATATCACATTAAAAAAATAGAATAGCTTCTTCAAAAGTACAAGGTTGTACATGCAGACAGGCAAGTACATACTATTTTTTTTTTTTTTGAGCTGAATAGGCAAGTACATACTAATATGCTATATTTCTCACATGAAAAGCCTAGTAGCTAAGGATGACTCAAGAATTTATTAAGTAGGTTAATAATGAGAATTCCACCAGTAAATTGAAACCTTAGTACAGGTTATTGGCTTAAGAACAATAATCTTTAGGACTTTCTTAGAGCTTAATTGTTGGCCCCATAATCTTATCTAGTTGTATCTTCTGCCATAGTTCTGATATCCTATCCGTAGTTTTGAGAATATCTTTTGGCATTGGTTATCTTTTGACCTCTACCCAGTAGAAGCGAGAACTTCAGTCTTAACCATTGAATGAGCTGTCATATTTTCTCTCATCCACTTACATTATCCTGTTTACTCTCTAATCCGGTACTAAGCAGTGTCAAAGCCTACCAAGGCCAACTATGCATGCATTGTTCTTGACTACAAGATAGGCACTTCTCAAGGGTACCAGAACACATAAACCCAATGATGCCGAAGAAAAGACAAGAGCACCAACATCAAACTTTAGCCACAAAATCACTCTTGCTCACATGAATGCACATGCCCAAGAACATACAGAATCCACAGTTGATAGTCTAAAGCCCAGAGGAGTTTTCCACTTGATAAACACCACAACATGCTGGACACTAATTGCCGAAGAAAAGACAAGAGCACCAACATCAAACTTCAGCCACAAAATCACTCGTGCTTACATGAATGCACATGCCCAAGAACATACAGAATCCACAGTTGATAGTCTAAAGCCCAGAGGAGTTTTCCACTTGATAAACACCACAACATGCTGGACACTAATTGCGGTGAGGATTGATCCTAGATTGAGTGTACCCAGCCTCAAATAAACCAGCTGCAATTGTCCTGCCTCCAAGGTCAGCCATCCCTGGAGTTACTTGGCCTTCGCCCTTTATTGATGGGATTCAGCCTAAGTGTTAAGAATTTGAGGGTTCAGGATTCTGGAACTAAACTAGATTGGAAATCACCTACCCTTGTCATTAAAAATACTCAGAAGCAAAAAAAAATAGTAATCCACTAAGAAGTAGAAATTAGCCAGCTATTTATAGACCCTTTACGATTAAAGAATAGACTGGACGCTTATATGAATATGTTCATCGCTGTTGACTACTTGTGAATTTACCGGCTCCTTATATTTCATAAACTAGCAAGTATATCAAGATATTACATATTAAAAATTCATACCAGCGATCTCTCATATGCGAGTCTAATCCGCGTAAAGAGAACGAAAAATTGGAGCCCGGAGTTTCACTAACTTGTTCCCATCGTCGTAGACAAAGCATCGAGGGTGGGAATAAAAGGAAAAAAGTTAATTTTCACCAAAAAAAAAAAGGAGAAATTTAAGGATTTGTTTTAACAAATTCTGAATTCCTAGGGAGCAAACCTAAACTGAGATGCTTCAATGGCAATTTTCGTTAAGGCAGTCAGCTCGAGGCGCGACTGTGGCTTAGTGGCGGTGGACGGCCGATGGTCTCCATTGCGTTTGGGGTTGAGACTTCGGTCCAGGGCCTCCCCAGTACGTTTCTTGGTCCGACGGCCGTGCCCAATAAAACGACAACGTATTATTACCGTGTTTTGGTATCAGCCGTTCGATTTGAATAATAATCTGGCCATTCGCTCGATCTTTAATTTGCGTGTGTAATTAAAGTTCAAAGCATATTATTGAGTAGAGCAGGTATTATGGGCTAAACTTAGAGGTTAAACCTGTCAACTCGTTAAAAAAGACAAGTTAGGGTTAATCAAAAGTCAACCCAATATCACCTGAGAAAATCTAACTCTCAGCGCTACAACCCACCCTCCTCATGGGTTAACTTGCGGGTTGGTAAGCTAGTCTAATTATTCTTGTTATATATATATATATATATATCAAAAAATGAAGTAACCCTTTCCTAAGTCCCTAACTCTCTTTTGTGAACTGCAAAGTCCCTCAGGTCACTCTTTCAGGGCCTGTTTGGAACAGTTTATAAGTAGCTTATAAGCTACTTTTTAATAGTGATTTACGGAATACAAGACAAGTATGTGAGAAGAGTTTTGTCTCGGCTTACGTGAAACGTGCTTATGAGGGATTTTCACTGCTTTGCCAGATGGGGCCTCAATCCCTCCGCCAGTTCGCCCTAACCTTTCGCCTCAAGGAAACAAGTTTCAACCTTTCCCCAGTTTCCACCCCTGCCCTTCACTAGTTTGCTTGAATTGTTTCTTCCGTTCCCTACAATTCCCCTTCTTCCTCACTTCCTCTTTGCTCTTCACCTGAATCAGTGAATCGCATCTTTCCTTCCCTTGATTCTTGAATTCCTTCGCCATTGTAGAATGCCAAAGATCGAGCTCGAGCTCTGCTCCATTTCTTGTTCAACCCTTCTCGCTAGCTTGATCTCTCTTCTCTTGTCTGTCACTTGCTAGCTCAATCTCTCTTCTCCTGTTCGTCACTTGCCAGCTCGTTCTCTCCTTTCAGGATCTCACTGATAGTAGCTTAACGGCCAAGGTTGACGATGCGACATGACTTCTAACTTCCCTCCATGTTCGTCTTCTTTGCCTCTCTGGTTATACATTGGCAAAATGAAAAAACAAAAAAGAAGGTATTCTAGGAGGTTAGTGGGTTGGGCCGCTAATCTATTTGGTGGGTTAGGGTTAGCTGAAAGGCAGCCTATCAGTGAACAGACCTTTTCAGCCAACACCAAGTAGCTCACAGCCTGCCTGCGGGTTGGCCCATTCTATCAGCCTTATTATTGAGCCACATGACATCAGTGAAATAAGAAGTAGTTATCACATAGCAACTCTTAATTAATCCAAAGACAAATAAATTTTATTGTTTATTTGACACTTGTACTTAAATTCATTATGCATCTATGTGTGTTTTAATTACTAATATAAATAGCAATATCCCAGTGATACTTGATTATTCAACTGGGTAAAGATAATTATTTTGTATCCATGTGAAATGCTGAGAGTTGGGGAGGGATAGAGGAGGCCATATGCTATCTCTGAAATAAGAGTTGCAGGGTGCCAGTTTTAATAGAAGAAGGTCTGGGAGCTAAGAATATATTTTTCTGCTAGGCTCCAAGATTGGCAGCAAGTTTTTTGGCGGTTGCAGATCCTATGAAATAAGATTGTGAAGGTGAAGGCTGATGATGATAACTGGTTGGCAAGTTTCTGTTACACATTTGATATGCATCCTAGGATAGCACCGAAGAGATAAGTACCAAATGCTGGCTTCTTTAATCAGCCAATGCCCTCACGCAATAGATATGCTACTTCTGTTCTTTAAATATAACATCCAGTTAAATAATTTGAAGAGATCAGATACTTACTAAAAGTATTTATACTACCTCTAGTCTTTAATATTAGAGCCAGTTGAATATTTAATTTAATTCTAAATATAAGATCTCAATTCATTTTATCTCTAAAATTTATAATGTTTTTTTCCCCCTAAAATACCTTATTGATTGTAAGGATTTTGCACCAAGGGATAGTCTCAATACACATGGTTAAATATGGTAGTTTAGAAAAGTTAATACATATTTATTACATTTAACCAACTTAAATAATTTTCTTAATCTCCCCAAATTAAATTGGTTAGCTAGTTTTTACATTAAGAGCCGGGGGTAGTATTTATCGTTCTTCTCTTAACTAATTTGTTGCATTTATAAATTGATATAATCTAATAATACATAAAACTATTTAATTTAGAGAGATAATGTGATTTATGCTATAATTATTAAGTAATTTAGTAACTTCTAAAATCTCTCTAAATTAGTCAACTAGGTCTTAAATTAATTAAGGAGGGGAGGTAATATATTAGTAGTTTATGGTATATTTAATTTATACTCCTTTGATCCTTAGTGTAGAATGTAATTGTGGAGTTGATGTTGGTCCTATATATATATATATATATATATATATATATGAGAGACGTATTGTACATGTTTATCAATTTTTTCTCAAATTAACCCTATTAATATTCCCCATAATAATAATTAGGTAGGGGAGGGAAGGGGAATTAATGAAGATGTTTAGAGTGTTTTAGGAAAAAAAATCATATGAACTAATTTAACTAACATTTTTAAACTATTCAAATTAGTTAATTAGGTGTTACGTTAACAAGAAGAAAAGTAATACTCCTATGGTCCTTAATATAAGACCTATTTAACTAATTTGATTAGATTAAATAAATTAGGTAAGTTAGTTAATTATAAGAAATATGACATGTTTTTTCTAAAACACCATAATCATTTTTCTTAATATCCTTCCTTCCTTTTCTACTTGATTATGGTTGAGGGAGTATCCATAAGGATAATTTAGAAAAAAAAATGATAAATATGAGAAATAAATCTAATATTTAAGACCAAAATTAATTCAATAATTAGGTCATATATTAAGTATCGGAAGAATATTTAATATTTGTGAAGAAACTGGCTAGTTGGTATTGTCGGCGTGACACCAAATTATAACGTTTATTTTTTTTTTGAGTGGAGTTATAACGTATTTTTAAAACACGCAGTATAGGGGTGCATTAATTAAAGACTGCACATGAGCATCGATTAGATAGTTAACTATGGGCCTTAAAGTTCCATTGGGTTCATGGAATTTGTTCTCAGCTTCTTTTTTTATTTTTTTTTATTTTTTCTATTTTATGGAAACAGCCACCGAACTTCAGATTTAATGACATGATTAACTTAGTGCGAGTGATTTATGCTGTACGATGTAAGAGAAGAGTGTGGTGTCGTAAAGTGCAAAACACTTGTTTTAATTGATTCTACCATTTGCCAAACATACTCTTAAGTATTTGATTAGTTTAGTTTTGTCTTGTATCATGATTTGGGTAATTTAGGATTAGGGTTTGAAGACAAATTGGGGGTTTAAGTTGAATAATAAAGATTTCACTAATTAAAGTGTACTTCGTGGGTTTGGTTTTGATTATTAGAGATTGAACTAAGTTTTGATTCTGACGAGTTTAAATTTTACCATGGATATGTTTCGGTATGAATCCAAATATGAGCAATTGGAGATTTTGACTAACTGATGTGATTGGGTGGCAACATGCTGGAGATTCCAATAAATTACAGCATTTGAGATGATAATTGAGAACATTTGGTCTGAGTGACAAGAATTACGCGTTCGTCCCCCAGGAAAAAAAAAGAAGAAGAAGACAAGAATCATGCGGACGAGTGTTTTAGAAATTGGGAGTATGCCAGCTAACTTTTAGTTAACTATAATTGGCTTTGCAGTCTTATGTTGATCAAATAATAAAATAATACAAATTATTCTCGTATTAGTTTGGACCTTTCATTTTATCAAAAAAACAAAGTAATACTTCTCCGGTCCTAGATATAAGACCCATTATGTGATATAATTTGTTGGAATAATCACTAGAGGGAGTAGATGAGTTGTGCCTGAAAATTGGTATTGGAAGCGAGTACTTCAATATATGATGAGTGGGAATATCTCAGAATTATTTCTCAACTTCCGCCGGCCAAAATAAAATATCAAACAGGAATGTGAGTGAGATTAAGTAACGATGTACGATAAACTCGACTGCTGATAGCCATAAACATGGGCACATGGCCTTGGGTCTCTTGAAGCGTTTTATTGATTGGCCTTCTTCCTGATTCCTTCAATCTCAATAGGCCATGGCTTCTTCTTCTCCTTTTAGTTCTTCCTGGACTTACGACGTGTTCTTGAACTTCAGAGGCCCAGACACTCGTCGCGTTTTCACTGCTCCTCTTTGTGAGGCTCTACGACAGTCAGGAATCCATGCTTTCATGGACGACGATATTGAAAGGGGAGAAGAGATCTCTGCCTCATTAGAGCAGGCAATTGAAAGGTCACGAATTGCGATCGTAATTTTCTCTCCATTTTATGCTTATTCCCGATGGTGTCTGGATGAACTGCTGAAAATAATGGAGTGTCGAAGAACTCAAGATCAGGTGGTTATTCCCATGTTCTATAACGTAGATCCGTCTGATGTTCGTAAACAGAGACGCACATATGGTGAACAGATGAAACGACACAGGCAAAGGTGGTTGGAAAGGAATGAAACATACTTCTCATTAAGTTTTCATGGGAGTGAGGTGATACGGTGGGAGGAGGCGCTCACGGCAGTTGCCAACATTGCCGGCTTTGATTCTGCAAATCCGTAAGGAAGGAAAAGATATTGATCAGGTCAAACTCCAAATGCTTCCACATATGACCTCAAGTGCTGTGAGAAAATTTCCCCCCTTAATTGATTATTACAAAATAATTGGACTAACCCCTTTCTATTTCATATATCATTCTATACTTTTTGGACATGTTTTAACTTGCATAAATTCTTCTTGTTTGTAACTCTTATACTCATGTTTATAAAATTTCTTGGTCCTGCCATGCATGCTCACAAACTTTTTAAGTTAATAAAAATGAAATTATAATTCGGGCAAAAAAAATAAAAATTGAAATTATTTTGTGTATATTATTAAGAATTAAACGTAAAATTTGTACTTTAAGATTTGTCACTAAGAGTATTATTATTATTATTTTTGGCTCATTCTCCGTTCCAATGTTTCTGCGGCTTTATTTTTAAGTAAAGGAATTGAAGAAATTGGGCATCCCTTCGATGAATTATATTCATTTGATTCAGTTTTAGATTCAAATTTTGCCAAAAAAAAAAGTGTTAGATTCAAATAAAACTGGGACTTTCCAAAAATTAGGATCTATTTGGTTTTGTATCTCTGTTTGGTAGGGATGTTTGGATTAGCTCGTTAATTAGAAGTAACTGAAGCATGAAAAATTTTCCTGTGATGCATATTGCATACAAGTCTTGTTGCTATTTGTAATAATGATGCTTATGATCGGATATTCAACATATATTGACAGGCATAAAAGTGATCTGATTAAGGATATTGTTGAGGCTGTTTCAGAAAAATTAGATGCTGGACAATTGTTCGTTGTTGACCATCCAGTGGGAATAGAGTCACGAGTTCATGAACTGACAATTGAATGGTCTCAAAGAAAACCAGAAAAAGCTCTTATTATAGGCCTTTGGGGGATGGGAGGTGTTGGCAAAACAACTGTTGCCAAAGCCATTTACAATAAAATTGGTCGTTAGTTTGGAACAAGAAGTTTCCTTGTAAATATAAGAGAAAATCCATTTAATGACCCAATTAATTTGCAAAAGCAACTCATTTCTGATATCACTAAAACACAAGTTTTCAAGATACCCAACATTGATAGAGGCAAAAAAATAATTCAGGAAAGATTTCCCAACATAAAAGCATTGTATTGGATGATGTGGACAGTCCCAATCAACTAAATGTATTCTGGAGGAGTCATAAATGGTTTTGTCCGGGAAGTGTAGTGATCATAACAACTAGAGATATACATTTGCTTAATGTCCTTAAAGCTGACCATAAGTATAGAATGAGAGAAATGAATGAAATTGAGTCTCTTGAACTTTTAAGTTGGCATGCATTTAAGCAATCAACTCCATTAGAAGCTTTTACTGAACTTTCCATGGCGATAGTTGCCTATTGCGGAGGACTTCCACTTGCTCTTGAAATTCTTGGTTCTATTGCATAAGAGAAAATTTCGAGAATGGCAGGATGCAGCGTCCAAACTGCAAAGTATTCCCAATAAAGATATACATGCAAAGTTAAAAATAAGCTATGATGGACTGAATGATTATATGGAGAAGGATATTTTTCTTGCCATATGTTGCTTCTTTAACCATAAGGATAGGAACTATGTTACACAGATATTAAATGGTTGTGGACTTCATGCAAATCACGGACTACAAATCCTCATAGAGCGGAGCCTTGTAAAAGTTGATAGGAATAATGAACTTGAAATGCATGATTTATTGCAAGAAATGGGCAAAGAAATTATCCGTGAAAGCCCACCTATATATAGATCCTAAAGAAAGTAGTAGATTATTGTTTTATAAAGTTGTACTTGAAGTGTTAACACAGAACATTCGGTAAGAATTTTCTTGATATATGCTTTATCTTTTGCAATTTTTGATGTGAAGGCATGCATTAGCTTTGTCTTAAAAAAGATGATCTTCCTTTTCTATTGCTCCATTTATATACAAGTTTAATTTTATACTATTCTCGATCTTATACATAAGAAGCAAGATCAAGCTATGCACGTCATATATTAATTGGCTTTCTCCCAACATGTCTCAAACGCTTCTATCGCTTATAACATATTTTCTCCAACACATTTACAGGGAACCAAAGCTATTGAGGGTATATCTTTGAAGGTGTACTGTCAGGAACTGATAAAGAGTGTCTCATTGATTCTGAGGCATTTCAGGAGATGAACAAACTTAGATTGCTCTAACTAGATTATGTAAATCTTAAAGGAGATTTTAAGCATCTTTCCAAAAATTTGAGATGGCTTTGTTGGCATGGATTTCCACTAGAATACACTCCAAGCAACTTTTACCAAAAGAAATTAGTTGCTCTTGACTTCAAATATAGCAACCTCAAAGTAGTTTGGAAAAAGCCCAAGGTACATATATTTGCTGTTACTCCTTTCCTTCTGTTCCTATATATAAGATATTTTTTTTTTAAAAATATGTTTCTCGTCATAAGAGACATTTTGGAGATTTTAGTCATTTAATGTGTTTTTTTTTCATATTTACTCTCAATTAATTATTTGTCTCTCTCATCTTTTTTTCTCACACATTCTCTCTCATTTCTTTTTTCACTCATTTTCTCTCCCACCCACATTTCCATAAATAAGGATGTTTTTGAAAAATAAATTGCATTTTTGTGTGCATATTATTACTTTTAACTAATTTTAACTAACTTTTGATTAATTGATTCGATTAATCGTCTCTTATAAAACAGAGAGAGTACTATTTATGAAGATGATTAATCAATATCACTTACAATATAATTCTTCTAGTATGACATTTATGAAGATTTTTTTTCTAGTTGTTGGAGATGTTGAAGACACTCAATCTCAGTCATTCGTGTCACTTGACAAAAACTCCTGATCTTACAAAACTGCCAAGCCTTGAAACGCTAGTGATGAAAGACTGTCCGAGCTTGATTTTAATTCACAAGAGCATTGGAGATCTAAAATACCTTCTTCACGTAAATCTAAAAGACTGCAAGTGCCTCAGAGATCTTCCTAGAAGCATTTACAGGGTGAGATTTTTAAAAACTCTTATTCTTTCAAGATGTTCAATGATCCAACATTTAGAAGAAGATATTGAGCAGATGGAGTCCTTGACAACTCTTATGGCAGATAATACGGCCATAACACGAGTACCCATTTCATTAGGAAGACTGGGAGGTCTTGCGCATGGATATGTATCTTTGTGTGGTTATGAAGGAAGAGCACAAAATATATTTCCTTCTCTCATATGGTCTTGGATGTCACCTAACAATATTTCGCAATCCCGTCTTGAAGAATTTGTTGCAAATTCTATCATCTATAGTTTTCTCAGTTGGACGGAATGATGGCTTTCGCGGCCTATCTCCATTTCTAGGCGATCCTGGGAAGCTTCGAGGGGTGTGGGAAGAATGCCGATCACAGTTTCGATTTTATGGAACAATGGCAAGACTTTTGGATGCTTTGTACGAGACAAAATTTTGAGCCAACTCGAGATATGCCACAGATATAATATATGGAAGCTTCTTCGTCATCTGAGGGCCATAACCAACTTCACATTGCAAAGCCTGCAGATTCCTTCAATTCTTTTTTACTTCAACTGGGAGTAGTGTGCGACAAAGCAGACTTGTTGAAAGAGAAAATTTCGCAGGTTTGTCTCTTTTTGTGTTTTTAGACCCCGCTTTGCGAAATAACCAACTATAGTTAGCATGATCTAATAAATGTTCTGATCCTTACTTTCTTTCCTTTTTTGGCCAAATGATTATTTGATTTCTGCGCTCACTCTATATTATAGGGATGGAATTATGGTGGGTGGGATGATCTCGCCTACCTAGTGATCAGTATCCTGATTGGTTCATCTTTAAGGGTGAAGGACGCTCACTACTTTTTAAGATGCCTCTAGTTGTAGGTTGTCAGTTGAAAGCGATGCTTCTGAATGTTGGGTATTCTTCTTGCATGGATAACGCAACGCCTCAATTTCTCATCAACGTCCGGATAATCAACTACACGAAGGCTACTGTTGATCAGCTTAAGGGAGACTCAGCAACTTTCCATGAAGATGCAAAGTGGCAGAGTATCATTTCAAGCTTTCAACCGGGTGATCATGTGGAGCTTATTTTAAGCATTTGGACCTCAATTCTCTGTGAAGAAGATTGCAGCGTACCTGATTTTTGAGCCTCGCCGGTTATTGAAATCATTGTTGAAAAAACTGAATGAAAGTTTTAGAAAGGGAAAATGACAATACTTAAGGACCATAAAATTTAAACTGTCAGTTGGTACAGATTTCAACCAAGAATATTGCAAGTCAGCTAGATCATTTTGATTCATAGAATTTTCCTGATCAGCCCATGACCTTGGTATTTAATTGGCATTTTCAAATTAAAGAGTGATTAACTGTCATTATGCTGCTAAAAACTGATCTTGTCATATTCCCTTTCAAAATCTGTCGTGATATGTCGGACAATATAGTGTGTTTGACTGTTTGTGCCTGAAAAAGAGTCTTGTTTTAGGATATCTTTTGATTGATACACGCTTTCTATTCCAACAATGTTATGTGAGGATCAACCCTCTTAATGCAATGTAATGTTGGAAGTCCAGATTTTAAAATTTTCAGAGACCAATTTGAAGTCTTTCTTTTCACCAGAAAACATGGAAAATAAAAACAGAGACTAACAATTTTGACCCAAAAAAAGACGGAGATTAAGAAGAAAGTAGTTCTTTAAGAAATGTGAGCTTCCTAAATCTGCATGTGACAAGACTTGTCATCTTCAAAAACAGGTTTTTCAGAAAACAAGGTAAAATAAGTTTCAATTTAAATGCAGATATAATTTTTTGATACTACTTTGTGAAACAACTTCGTTGGTTCTATAATCTGTACAGGTTATAGGCCTAAGAACAATGATTGGCCTTGTAATCCTATCTAGCTTTATCTTCTGCCATACTTCTAATATCCCATCTATAGTTTTGAGAATATGATTTGGCCTTGGTTACCTTTTGACCTCTTCCCAGTAGAAAACGAGGACTTCAGTCTTAATCATTGAACTAGTTTTCATACTCTCTAATCCTGCACCAAGCGGTGTCAAAGCCTACCAGGACTGAACTATTTCATTCATTGTTCTTAACCACAATATAGGCACCTCTCAAGGGTGCCAGAACACAAGAGCCCGGTGATGCCGAGAAACAGCCAAGGGTACCAACATCAAACTTTAGAAGACTGATCCTAGATTGAGTACCCAGCCTTAAATAAACCAACGGCAAATGTCCTGCCCCCAAGATCAGCCCACCCCTGGAGCTACAAAGCCCTTTATGGATGGATTTCGCCTCCTTGGAAGGTATCTGAGGGTTCAGCATTCTGGTCCTAGACTAGATTGAAAAGCACCTAACATTGTCGTTGAAAATACCCAGGAGCTAAAAAATTCCCTAATCTACTGAAAAGTAGAGATAAGCCTGATATTTATAGGCCCTTTACATTGTCTGGGGGAACAATTTGAAATTTCTAGCACGAAATTCCTTAGCCGACTTCTTGGCAATGAAGCTATGTTATTGTTGAGAAAAAAATCCAATATAATAAACACATATTGTCATGTAAGCATTCCTACGCAGATGTCACGTGGATAATTTTTGGTTGCCCCTTTTGATGAATGCATGAAAGAGGACTTCAAGTAATGAATATTAGTTGGATTTCGACGCGTTGAAGATTTACCTAATCAGCATTTTAATAGTCAAAGTTATGTTTGTATTAGAGTTGGATGAAACTGCACCGTAAAAATTAGTTCGTGATTGAAATTACACCTTAAAAAATTTTAGGACAAGGGATGTATTCAGAAAAATATTTCTGGGTATTAGGCATGCCTTAACCCTACAATTAATCTGCAATAATGAGGTTGAAATTAGATTTAACGGCAATCCATAACGATTGATTGGGTTAATTGAAAATCAAAATTGAAAAGCCAAATCCATCATCTTCTCTTAAAAAAAAAAAAAAAA